CCGACAGCCACGAGTCGCTGGGGAAGTGTGTCCTGCTCCTATCCAAGTAGAGTTTGCCACGTCCTATGCTGGCTTGGGTTTCACTTTCTTCCTATTCTTACAGCTCCTTTGGCGTTGCGGTGCTGTTCATCATGGTGTCATGTCTGCTGCATCTTGTAGCCACCGCCTACTTCCTGTTCCTGGAACTGCTCAGCAAGCGGGACAACGGCTATCTCTGGGTGCAGATGCTCTGGATATGTTTTCATTTCCTGCGTTTACTCATGGTGGTGGAGCCATGTCACTTGCAAGCTCGAGAGTCGCGCAAGACCATTCAGATTGTTTGTGAGATCGAGCGGAAAGTGCACGAGCCGATCCTAGCGGAAGCGGTGAAGAAGTTTTGGCAGCAGTTACTGGTGGTCGATGCCGACTTCTCCGCCTGCGGATTATGTCGCGTCAACCGCACCATCCTCACTTCGGTAACGACTCTTTAAACTAATTTCGAAACTATTTATAATTTTATTCCCATATTGCTATAGTTTGCGTCTGCCATAGCAACCTATCTCGTGATACTCATTCAGTTTCAAAGGACCAACGGCTAGGACATGGACGCAGATCTTACATTTATAAAAAGTGGCTTCTTTTATTAACACTATTTACTAAACGGAGTTCTTGGATATTATTGATCTGTTGAAGTGTCTAAGTGCTTAAGTTGTAATTTAGCAAACAATAAAAAGCGAAACGGTTTATCTTTTTCAGAACAGTTATCTCTGAACTCTTTAAAATTCACACATCCATTTCCATGATCACCTCCCAATCGCGATTACACCTAGCCTTATCCTGGGGATTTAGAAACCCTTCTGGTATTGCTTGGTCTCCATCCGCTGCTGCAGCAACTCCAACTGCCGTTTCGCCTCACACTGCGGGAAGTTGTTCAGGTCATAATATTGCGGGGCCAGGCTCAGCAACCATTCGGCTAAGAAAAATAATTATTAAAAATATAGTTTTTACAATACTTAATTTCAAAGGAGAACTACTTACGCTTCACATCCGTAACTGTGCGGATGTAGTTCTTTGTAGTCAGGACAAATTCATTGTAGATTACCCAGTCGGGCTTGTGGTCTAGACATGTCGACGGATGCAGCTGCACGTTCTGGTTGTCCTTGATGGTCAGGTAGTGGCCGGTGCGCTCCAGATGGGCCACCTGCATGAAGAAGCCCTGGACGAGGGCCTTGCGTATGTTCACGTAGTAGTCCTTCGAGGTGAACTCGGTGCTTGTGCGCCGCAGATTAAAGCGATCCATAATCCTGGCAAGCTGCTGGCGCACATTGTCCGCGCTTTTTAGGGAGCGGAAGTTTATAAAGTTCTCGTAACACCAGTTGGGATCCTCACTACCTAAAATCGCAATACAAAACAGAGGAATGTGTTTATGTGCTGGCAAATGGTTTCGCTTTCTGTTTACTTACTCTGCTTGAAGGCGTGATAGACGTTCAGCAAGGTCAGGTGGTCTCCGTCAATGTGGGCGAATCGCATCTTGGCCTCGTCGGCTGCTTTCTTGGCCTCGTTGGGACGCACGAAGCATTGTGGCACTTTGGCACGTTTGAATTGGTTTGGTTTCGATTAAGCGCAAGTCAAAACAATTTTTTTTACATAAACATATAGATTGTGCTTACTTTTTGTCAGCTAGGCAATCTAGAGGCTTGATTCAAAGATTGGTTGCATTTGTGAGTTGCAAGTGCGTTCGAGTATTGTTAAGACTCAAAATCAAAAAAACTGTGAGGCGACAATGCCGCTCATCCTTACATTTAAAGGATGGGCAATGGGCTTTGGCTTTTCAACGCATGTGCAACTTTTCTTTTCGAGTAGAATGCAAAGAACAAATAAATTGACAAACTTTTTTCTTTGCATTGTAGCTTAAGAAATTACTTAAATCTCATTCTATTAATATCAACAAAAAATCTACCTCGAACCTCTTGGAGATTTTCAATTTAAAAGGAAGATTAGGATCACGATTGCCACTTAGAAAGTCACAATTATTTTGTTTTATTAAATAAGGATTTTGATTTTATACCAGACCGGAGTAGGAAAATTTAATATTAGTTAATTTCGCAAGAATGTGTTAGATTTATTCAAAGGAATGTTTGCAAAAAAAAGTGGCAGTCGTAAATAATATGTAAATAAAAAAAAAAAGAAGCCTAACATATTCCTAAACTTAAGCGAAAACTTTTTTTTAGATTTTTGTTTTATCTCACCCGACAGCATGGCCGTTATGGAAAGTATCTCGTTGGAGCAGTTGTGTTGGCAGCTGGCAATCAGCATCTTGGCCAGCTGCGGATCCAAGGGGAACTCGGACATGACGGCGCCGAGGTCCGTCAGATTGCCGTCATCATCGAGGGCGGCCAGATAGTTTAGCAGCTCCAGGGCACGCATCAGTGTCTCTGGAGCAGGGGGATCCATGAAGTCAAAATGTACCAGGTCGTCAATGCCCAACTTCTTCAGCTGCAAGACCACAGTGCCTGGACACAATAAACAAAACGATATTTAGGCAAGATTCACCTATGTGAAGAGTTTAACCATTACCCAAGTTAGAGCGCAAGATCTCGGGGTAGGTGTTGTCCTGCATCTCGTTCTTAAAAGCCTTTTCCGTGTACAGACGGAAGCATTTTCCCGGCCGCGTACGTCCGGCACGACCAGCACGCTGCTGGGCCGAGGCCTTGGAGATGGGGGAAACGAGAAGACTCTCCACTCGGATGCGAGGATTGTAGACCTTCTGCTTGGCAAAGCCTGGATCGATCACGAAGACCACGCCGTCAATGGTCAGCGAGGTCTCGGCGATGTTGGTGGACACCACCACCTTGCGTCCGATGGCGCCATTGGCATTTGGCGGTGGGGCCGCCTCGAAGATGCGCTGCTGCAAGTTGGGAGGCAGCGTAGAGTAAAGGGGAATGCACTTCAGCTCGCCAATCTCAGAGCCAAGATTGTCGATTTCACGCTTGATGCGCTTGCAGGCCTCCTCGATTTCTTCTTGGCCCGTGAGGAACATAAGGATGTCGCCTATAAATAAGGAAAAATGTAAAATTGTATTACATAAACATATAATAGTTTCGGAACCAAAGTGGGGAGTAACTTTTTAACAAGCTTACGTGAAGCGTTTGCAGATCACCGTGTGATTTATTTAAAAATCTGAGCACGTGCCTCGAAGCAAAGGTGAACATAAAATTTGTATTAACTAATGCGCTGTTGATTTAAAATGACAATAATTCGATTTACTTTAGAAAACGTTTAAACGTAATTTATGTTCTTATATAGTTTAGTAATAAAGATAATCAATGGACAATTCAAAGCTTACGGTCAAAACTAAATACTTCAAGAGCCGAGTGTTATTAAATGAGCGTGGAAGATGGGAATGCAATAAATACCAGAGCATCTTTTATTAAGATGAACGTGTGTAAAGTAGTACTATACAACAATGAATTTTACTTTATTAACTCATTTTTAACCACTCACCCTCAATCTCTTCGCACATGTGTATCTGGATGACCGTGCGAATAGCGGCCTCCAGGTAGTCCCTTTCGGGCTCCGGTGTGTAGAAGATCTCCACGGGATGCGTGCGACCAGGCACGTTCATGAGCGGAGCGTTGTCGAAATACTGCTGGAACTTGCCGGCGTCCAGGGTGGCGGACATGACCACCAGCTTGAGGTCGTTGCGCTGCCGGATGACCTCTTTGAGCACGCCCATTAAAATGTCGGTGGCCAGAGTGCGCTCGTGAGCCTCGTCGAGCAGGATGACCTGGTACTGCTCCAGCATGGGATCGGACATGGCCTCGCGCAGCAGCATACCGTCGGTCATGTACTTAAGCAGAGTCTTGGCCGAGGAGCAGTCCTCGAATCGAATGGAGTAGCCCACCTCCTCGCCCAGGTTCACGTCCATCTCCTCGGAGACACGCTGGGCCACGGACATGGCGGCCACTCGACGCGGCTGTGTGCAGGAGACACCCTTGCGTCCCTTGGACACCGCGAAGTCCACGCACCACTGCGGGATCTGTGTCGTCTTGCCGGAGCCCGTCTCGCCCACCAGCACGATGCACTGGTGCTGGCTGAGCAGCCGCATGAAGTCTGCCTGGTACTCGAACACGGGCAGAGCAATGCGCTTTTTGTATAGGTTCTGGTACCGCTGTGAGTACGGTTTGTTGGTCAACGGATTCATCGTGGGCGGCTGCTTATTGGGCACGAATCCGCCAAGGATTTGAGCCACCGTGCCGGCCGCCGACGACGAGGAGGACGCCTCCGACTCTCTGGGGGAAAATCTGGATTAGATTACTACTGCCTTATGGGATCAACGCACTCACTTCTTCGCCTTGCTGCCGTAGGTCTCGCCCACTTCGATTCGACGCTTGGACATGCTGATTTCTGCTGGTTTGCTAGAATTAATTCTCGAATCGAAGCGTTTTGCACAAAAAAAAACACGCGCTCAGTGTGACCTTAAATACATACCGACTCTTAGATGTAATTATACCAAATCCTACTTTTGAATATACTGTTAAAATACCGCCGTATAACAGAGTTAGCTAATATCCCTACCAGTAGCAAGGCTTTGCTTAGTGATATATCGATATTCAATCGAGTGGGTGGGCTAATTTGGAAATATATGCAGTTTTATTTGAAAACTGTCTTCTTCTATTTCTCATAGATATTCTCCAGCCGTCTGCCCGTTTCTAGGCAAACTAGTCTTGTTTTTTAAGCTATTTCGATGAATCTTTGCAAAAAGTAAACTTTCTGTTGCAAACAGGCCATCAAAACAGGACGGAACAGAAAATTTACAAATTTTTGAAAAACTTTTCTTACGGATATCAGAGTTCAACGTGCCAAACTTCTAAATGATTGTGAACTGATTCGTCAAAATTCTGCGCTTGAATCTTGTTTTGAAACTTGGGTGCCATTGAGTTCTGTTCGCTTTCAATCATTTTTGTTATACCGCTGGGCAGTATATGTTTTGTAGTTCTTGGTATATCTGGTATATTCTGGCGCTCTAGCTACGGCCACACCATCACATTGTATCGATTCGGAGCTGAATATTTGCAAGTATTTCAAAGCGCAAAAATGCGCACCAAAGCGCAGGAGGCCGAATGAAAACTCCCCTCCGAAACCAGGACAAAAGCAACTACCATGGAAATACCCATACAGGTGGCCGTGCGCATTTTCCCGCACAGGGAGCTCAAGAAATTGAAGGACAGTATCGCCCCCGCAGCTCTTAAACAGGATGTGAAGGCGGAGGACGAGGGGGCGGACTCCAAGGACACTGGAGATGAAGTGGCGGGGGTGGAAAAGGATTGCACGAGTTTGACGGATACCAACGGGAATGCCGAGAAGGACAGTGTATCTGATCCGAAGCCAATTGAGGACGCCAATGGCAACAATAGCAAATCAAAGGATTCGCCGGAGTCCGGATATTGCGTCCAGGCTATTCCCATCAGCGCCTCCGCCCTCGGATTGCCCAGTGCTCTGCCAGGCGGCGATCCCATGGACAGCATTGCCGCTGGACTCATCCAGGTTGGTCCTCACACAGTGCCCGTCACCCACGCTTTGGGCAGTAGCAGCTCCCAGCAGCAAGTGTACCACCAGACGGTCTTTCCGCTTATCACCCTCTTCCTGGAAGGATTCGACGCATCCGTGGTCACCTATGGTCAGAGGGGCCAGGGCAAGAGCTATACCCTCTACGGAAATGTCGAAGAGAACACCGAGAAAGAGTCCGCCGAGGGAGTCGTCCACCTTTGCGTCCGGGACATCTTTTCACACATATCCTCTCACCCAGGTGAGTGTTTTCAGCGATGTGTATTATTAAGCATACTAAATCATTTTCGTTTCAGAACGCACCTATGCCATAAACGTGGGTTTTGTGGAAATATGCGGAGGTGAGGTCTGTGACCTGTTGGGCATGGGCAACATACATTGCACCAATGTAGATGCGGTCTTCCGCTGGCTGCAGGCGGGTCTATCGGCCCGCCAGTCCTTGCCGGCGCACACCCTGTTCACGCTGACACTGGAGCAGCAGTGGGTGTCCAAGGAGGGACTGCTGCAGCATCGCCTGTCCACGGCCAGCTTCTCAGATCTGTGCGGCACAGAACGATGCGGCGAACCGCATCCTGGACGACCCCGCGATGCTGGCTTGCATATGTTGGAGCAGGTGGTCAGCACTCTCACGGATCCCGGACTCATGTACGGGGTCAATGGCAACATTCCGTATGGCCAGACCACACTCACCACTCTGCTAAAGGACTCGTTCGGCGGACGGGCTCAGACGCTCGTGATCCTGTGCGTGTCGCCGCTGGAGGAGCACTTGGTTGAGACTCTGGGCAACCTGCAGTTCGCCTTCAAGGTGCAGTGCGTGCGAAATTTTGTGATCATGAACACCTACTCGGACGATAACACGCTGATCGTCCGGCCTCCAGAGGCGCTGCCAGTTTCCGATCCCGGAGCAGGACCTTTGGCACAGGCGGTTTCAGGGGACAATTTTGGGCTGCAGTTCGCGGCCAGTCAGTGGTCTAAATTGGTGACCAACGCGGAAGGGCTGTTTGCCAAGTAAGTGGATACTTTATATTTCATATGAACCTTTTAAGACATAGATACTTTCAGGTTAATGGATTCCAAGCTGATCAGTGAACTGGAGAAGGAACAGATCGAGGAATGGCTCTACCTCAAGCAGGAGTGTGAGGAGTGTCTCAGCTCAACGGAGGCTATGCGCCAACAGAAGCAGCTGGTTCCAATTCAGGAGGCCGAGGAGCCGGAAGATGTCAACTCCGAAGCAGCCAACTCTGAGCCAGCAAACTCTGAGCCAGCGAACTCCGACAACGAAAACGACACGGACAATGAGTCGCAGCGGCCTGATCTGGCCGACAAAATGGAGAGCCTAATGGAAGAGTTTCGTGACAAGACGGACGCGTTGATCCTGGAAAGGCACGCAGATTACCTGTCCAAACACCCCAAGGCGGTTATGCAAAGTCAAGAACGCGAGAATGAGGCACAGCCGTCAGTGGAAAACGGGGAAGATCGCAAGACCAGCATCGGCGGTAAGTCTGTCCCTTGTGGAATCCTTTTTAATTTACTGACATCGTTTTTTCCTCCAATAGGTCGCAGGAGAAGCATTCAGCCAGGCGCCAGCTTGAGTACAGCAGAGCTGGCAATGCTTAATCGAGTCGCCTCGCAGCAGCCACCTCCGCCCATCGATCCCGAGTTGATCGTCGATCCTCTGGAAAGTTCCTCGGGCGAGGGTCTCCGTCAGGCGGCTCTCGCTGCCGCCGCCGCCATTGCTCCTATCGAGCAGCTGCAGAAGAAGCTACGGAAATTGATTGCTGAAATTGAAGGCAGGCAGCGGCAGTTGCGGGAAATCGAACAGACGATCCAGGTGAAGCAAAATATTATTGGCGAATTGGTCAAGAACAGCGACACTCGCAGCCACGCCAAGCAGCGCTTCCACAAGAAGCGTGCCAAGTTGGAGGCCGAGTGCGACAAGGCCAAGAAGCAGCTGGGTAAAGCACTGGTGCAGGGCCGCGAGCAGCCGGAAATCGAGCGCTGGACCACAATAATTGCGCATCTGGACCGCCGCCTGGAGGACCTCAGCTCCATGAAACATATTGCCGGAGAAAGCGGACAGAAGGTGAAGAAGCTCCAGCAATCGGTGGTCGAGTCGCGAAAGCAAGCCGATGATCTGGAGAAAAAACTTCGCAAGGAGGGCAAGTTGCGCGATCAATTGGAGGCGGAATTGGCCAAGCTGTGTGAGTCTCGGGACACCGGCAAGGAATTGGTGAAGACCCAGACGGATTCTCCAGAGCACCATGGCCGCCAGTTAAAGGCGGTACAGGCCAGGATCACTCACCTTAACCACATACTACGCGAGAAGTCGGACAACCTGGAGGAGCAGCCGGGACCAGCGCAGCAGGAGAGTTTGCGTCACGAGATCCGCAACCTGCGAGGCACTCGAGATTTGTTGCTTGAGGAGCGCTGCCATCTGGACCGCAAGCTCAAACGGGACAAAGTGCTGACCCAAAAAGAGGAGCGCAAGTTGCTCGAGTGCGACGAGGCCATCGAGGCCATAGACGCGGCCATAGAATTCAAGAACGAGATGATCACGGGCCACCGCTCCATCGACACCAGTGATCGAATACAGCGGGAGAAGGGCGAGCAGATGTTGATGGCCCGCTTGAATCGCCTTTCGACGGAGGAGATGCGTACGCTTTTGTACAAGTACTTCACCAAGGTGATCGACCTGCGCGACTCTTCGCGAAAGTTAGAGCTGCAGTTGGTGCAGCTGGAGCGCGAGCGGGATGCCTGGGAGTGGAAGGAGCGCGTCTTGTCCAATGCCGTGCGTCAGGCTAGACTAGAAGGCGAACGGAACGCCGTGCTATTGCAGCGCCAGCATGAGATGAAGCTTACCCTGATGCTGCGCCACATGGCCGAGGAAACGTCGGCCAGTTCGGCCAGCTACGGAGATCGAGCTCTGGCTCACGCCACTGCAAATTCTCCAGTGCAGACCAATAGTGATTACGACTACGACGATTTCTACAAGGCGACTGGCAGTAATCCCAGCAAGGCGCTGGTCAAGGCGCCCAAGCCGTTGCCCACTGGCTCGGCGCTGGACAAGTACAAGGATAAGGAGCAACGCAGTGGGCGCAATATCTTTGCCAAGTTCCACGTGCTCACCAGGTACGCTTCAGCTGCAGCGGCCGGTTCCTCAGGCTCCACGGCTGAAGAATCAACCGCTTTGATTGAGTCGACCACTACGGCCACGGCCACCACTACAACCACCACAACTACTACGGGAGCGGTAGGAAAAATCAAGGATAAGGCACTGGTCAGCTTCAGGCCGGAGCAGCTTAAGCGACTGATGCCAGCGCCGACGGCCACGAAGGTTACGCGTCAGAAGAACAAGATTATTATCCAGGATGCAAGTCGTCGAAATTAAACACGAATTTATCCATTTCCAGGGCGATTATGTCAGGTTAAGCCAAATAGCCATAGGCCATGTATAGCCAAGTATCGAAAATTAGTCACTATAATAACAAAGGCGACATTTATTAGGGTAACATACATTTACACATTTTTTGTTTAACACCCCCAGCTTATCTTCGGTAAAAATGTAGCATTATTAGTGATTATGAAAACAAGTCGTTAAAAGTTTAATAGCATTTATGTTTCGCCAAAATATCCAAATACGTTCTTCTGTACAATATTTTTTCGTATTTGTCGCCTATGTTATTTTAGGGTCTAGAGTTCGATGTTTTTAGGTGCGTGGCATGAAAACTCAAAGCCCGGGCACAAGTACTGAACAAGTTTCGTCCACAGTCATGACACAAATAGACTCGATACGGTTCTCATTCTGACTCCTTAGCTGGAAAGCATTTATTTTACAAACCTTTACACATATACCTAGCATAATAACTATCCTCATGAGATTCAACTGCAAAGACTTGACCTGCTACTTAAGATACTCGCAAGACAAACCACATATACAACTCGCTCAAAGTGTTGAACTTAACTCTCTTCACCGATTAATCTGTAAATAACTTTAATGCGTTAGCTTACTACTTAATTTTAATTAATTTTGTTAGTTTTAGGTTAGTTGTAAACACTATTGTGTCTTCCCTTGAATTTTACTTGACTTTTGTTACTACCCGAAATACTCGTACTCGATTACCCAAGTGTTAACTTTTATAAAATCTACCAAAAGCATTTACCCTGTACAACATCAATATATACACGATACTCGTACTAAGATATAATACTCATGTTGCATTTTAATTGAAATTTAAAACTTTTTGGTTGTGTATAACGTATTTTTGTTAATAGAGATTTCAGAATATTCCGATTATATATCTATGTATACAAAAGCATTCTTAAAATGATATTAATATATGTACTTACAATATTAAATAGTGGAAAATCGTCTGCACAATTAAAAGCATAGATATTCCACTATAAACGCTTGGCATTGCTTTTGTGTGGATATTGTTGGATAAGCAAATAAATATATTAAAACATAATCAATAATTAAAGCGATTTATTATAAAACTCTGTTTTCGTTTTATTTAGATTGCGGATTGTTTGTTCGGCATGGCTGGGGATTCAATAAAATGAATCCGATGATATAGTCATATAAGGAGGGTTGCCGAATGAAAAGACTTTCCTTATAGTAAATATACAAATTCACTGCAGCTCTTTCAGGTACTTTACTTGCAGTAATAATCCAAACAAACACCGCCCACATTGGTTCCACCCCGAAAGCAACAGGTGCGAAATGTCCCTTGAAATTTCCCAAACAATTGCCCCTTCGCACACATACATACACACCTAAAGGCGGAGAGAGAGCAACTGAGAGAGCGATAAAATGGCCGGCTGTCTGAGCGGAGTATCTGAATCGGAGGGCGAGTAGCTGTATCTGAGCATCCGATTCAGTCTTGTTTGGACCGTCGAGCGATCGAGAACCGGATTCAGCGTTAGTCGGTGAATCGCGAAAGCGTGCGTTTGATTGTGTGTGTGCGTGTGAGCGTTGTTTTGGAACACGGATACGGATATATATATACGGCAGCGGTTCGCGATTAACAACCCAACAAACCCCACCCGCCCGTGGTGGTTGTGCACCTCCCTAAATAAAGTGAATAATAGTATATAAAGTATCTGAAAGATAGCCAAGAGCAGAGCAAAGTATCTGTGTTTGTGTGTGCGGTGCTTTTGTGCGGAGTCGCCACCCCTGTGGATTAGTGGCACCCTGCTGCAAATTGCCCACCACTCTCACTGTGTGTGTTTGTGAGTGTGTGTAAGTTAACAACAATTAACGACATATTAAACCAACAATTTGGTCATCAGAACGAGCGTTAACGGTAAGAAAAGTCGGCGCTTTCAAGAGCAATTTTCGCCAATGTCTGGACATTTTCTTTGTGCCAGTCGTGTATGTATAGGTTGGGTGCTGGTGTGTGCGTGAGTCCTGCCCACGCCCACTGAGTAAAGATAGTCTGCAGAATCCATTGTAGGATGCTATTTGATGATATATATTCGACTTTTAAGGGAAATTCGTCCATTTAATTAAGGCTTCTTATTGATTTTTCGCAAATAAAATGTATTTTCCAATCCGGGAATGCAAAAATGGTTACTTTCTGCACTGTAAATTACACACACATGCAAAAGGGTGTGAAAATGTTTGCCGATGAGGGAGGAAAAACTTATCTTAAGAGTCCCTGAAATTGGTATAATAGTACATTTCTGATCATATAGTCTCATATTTAGCCATTTTCCATGCATTTGCCAGTTATTTTTATTTATGAATTGACTTTTAGAGGAAATCATTTCAGTCCCTGAATTTTTCAGCGAATTTTTTTTCGGCGCATGCGCCCTTGGCACCGCAGAAAAGCAACTCTGCGATTACCGTTGTATTCGCCTTTGCCTCCGTTTGTGTGCGTGCGTGTGTGTGTGCAACCTGTGCCTCCTGCTGCTTGGTCCTTGGTCCTTTGTACCCCGTCAGGTAGTTTTCCTACTCAAAACTCTTCATTCTCAAGAACCTTTTAAAATCCGTCGCAGTTTCCATGTGGCACACATACGCTGTGATCCTTTTTGTGCATATTTATGTATGTGTCTTTATGCGAGTGGTGGTTCAACCCCTGCTTGTAAAATCTCTGAAATCCCATGCAGCTGCCTTCGTCCTTTGGCTGCTGGTGTGTCTGAAGTTTCCACTATTTGATTTTGCAAGTGTTGCGCTACCCTCCCTCCCTTCCCTTTCCACCCACTTTTTATTTTCCGGCTTCTTTTTCTGGATTTTCGTCGGCCTGCCATCCTGTTGCTAGGCGGCGATTCTCCACTAGTTGGGCTAGTTGCCAATTTTTCCATGTGACTCCCTGTTTCCAGAGCAATAAAACAATTTAAAGCCAATATATAGGTGTATGCAGGAAGTACAATAAACCAATAAATAAACATATGTTACTTAATAAAATCTTTAACAATAAATATATCACTTTTTGCATAATATATAATATCTTTGCAGAGGGTAATATAATGTAAGTAAGAAGTTTACAACGTAGTGGGTTAAAACTTCCGACCTTATGAAGTATATATAGTACGACAAACTAAATAGAGTGAATTCATGTACTTATTATTATTTTTTTTTATTATTTTCTAATGTTTTTAATAATAATTTGTTGGTTCCGGCTGTAATGTAAATGGGTGTATCATTTTTGACTAATTCGATAATTATGCGGCTAGTTCACAAAGGCAATAAATAATTTTATTCAATAGGAGTATTTAGTAGCTTTTCATTTATTATTTGACAGCTTTTGAAATTTGTAATGGTTTTATCCCACCAATAACCTAATTACTTTACTATGAATATTGTTAAAGTCTTTTGAATAAACACTTTTTTTTGGTCGATCCCATCGATTTGATGAAAACTCTTTCAACGGCTCTGGTATGGTGGCAAATATTGATTTCCACTTGGGCTCAAACATGACACAGCGGAAAAGGTTAAAGTGAACAAAGGCTGACAAACAAATGAAGGACCGAATAAATATTTTTTGTTCTTGCTGCCGTCGAGAGCACTTGAATCTCAATTAGGGGCGCAGTGCGGAAAACTGTGAGCGCGAATGGGTCATAGCAGCGGTTCTGGACAATGGACATGTCCTCCGCTACCGACGACGACCCTGCACTGGGCCACTGCCCTCTGTCCCCATCCGCCCCTCCACCTCTGGCATGCACCACCCTTTCCCAAAATTTATTGGCTCGTCACCCCAATTTTTAGTTACACATCCAGCCAGACGGACCAACAAAAAGAATACAAAATGCAAGCATGAGTAATATAAAAAGTGCTTTTGATTCGTTGATTTTACCACGCGATTGACCAAACGGATCCGCTCAGGGAGGGGTTGTCTGTCTATATGTACATTGTACATATATACAAAAATGTATCCGTACATATGCTACTCTCTGCCTATATAAACGCTTGGAACCGTTGACTGATTACCAGATGTTTTCTAAATTGTTTCATACGAGAATCGCAGAATCATTTGTCGAGATGGAACGCGTACGTTTTTAAGCTGAAAACTCAAGGATAGATGTACGGATGATTCATTACTCGTAAATTACAGTGCGATTCAGAACTTCAATTATTATTAAAACAAACAATTGTAATTAAATATTATAATTATAATTAGTTAAATAACAATTTGCGAAAGCATATATATTTTTTTATTAAACAGTAACAAAATATTATTCGCAAGAGGTAATTGTTTTTCTCCGTTTTCTGATATTTTTTGTTTTGAAAGTACTTTTTGAGCGGCTCATAGAAATATTTTGTATTAATTCAAACTTTAATTTTCATGTTCACATCCCTTCGAGGACATTTTTGGCCACCCCAAAACCATTTTTAGCAGCTGTTCGTCTGCGAAGCTGCTCAACTTCGGGACAGTTAACCCTCGCTGCGAATGACAGCTAGTTCATTAGGCCAATTGAAAAGCTAACATTGGCCGAGCAGACCCTCCACCAACAATCTATAGTTTTCATTCGTAAGGGGACACGTGCGGGGAAGGTTTTATCCGTACGCCTGCGCAACCCTCACAGCAAATAAAACCGAATCGTAGATAAGACACAACTATCTACCATAATGATCCGTCTTGAATTGAATGCGGAATAACAAAAAACATTTATTCTTTGTCCACAATTTGTGGCAAGCGCAAATGAAGGAATCCACTTAAGAGTTAATTAATCGTTAAAAGCTGAGAAATTTGCTTTTGAATCTATTTCTATATACACGCATGTGTATATTGTACAATTAAAGACTAGCTCATGGATTAAAATAAGTCGCTGGCCGAGTGGAGTAGCTGGATGTCAAGTTACAGACATCGAGGGGATCGGGGGACATATAGACAGATAGACAGAAATGTGGAATCGTGACTTCCTGCCTGTCATAAAGTGTGTTTTTTCGCCTCCAAACTGGGGTGGCGGAATGGAAGGGAGGCGCGTGACATTTTATGGATAGCAGAAGGCAGAAAAAAGAAAAGAAGTTGTCGAAGCTGTTGCTCACTCCTCCCCCTATTGGCCATTTGTGGTTTAATTAATGACATCCATCCGCCGTTTTCCACTTCCACGATACACTATTCCCTCCATCGAGTGGTTTCCTTTATTTTTTATTCCATTTGCTAATCGTTTTTATAGGGCTTCTCCTAGTAGTATAAAATAGTTCTTACACAATTTTGAATAGGCTTAACTGTTAGTTAAGTATTTTTTTTTTAGAAAAACTGAAATTATTATATTATTTTTTTTATGCTTCTAGGTTTGTTAACTAATAATCTACTAATGGATTATTAACTATCGGACCTCGAATATAAAAAACAATAGAATAATTTCAGTTTTTTCACAAAAAAATACAACTTATCTAATAAGTTAGGTTAACTGTACACTCATAGCAAAATTAACCCTAAATTTTAGAAATTCGCCCTAAAACTTTATTTTTTCTAAATCCAAGAAAAGATTTCTATTTTCAAGAAATTTTTTTCTCAAAACAAGAAAACTTTTCTTAAATCAAGAAAGTGTTTCTCAAATGTAGAAATTGTCGCCATAAACTGAACTCACCCTAAATCCAAGAAAGAATTTCTATATTTTAGTAAAAATGGTACTTATTTTTATAAATTTTTTTCTTCAAATTAGAAATTCTGCCCTAAAAAATTATTTACCCTAAAAAATAGAAAATTTTTCTCAAATTAACCTTAAAAATACGATAACCCTAAAAAATAGAAACGCTTTCTTAAATATAGAAATATTTTCTTAAATATAGAAATATTTTCTTGAATATAGAAATATTTTCTTAAATATAGAAATATTTTCTAAAAAATAGAAATTAATCCCAAAATATAGAAATATTTTCTATAACATAGGAAAGATTTTTTAAAATGACCATAAAATTGTTCTAACCCTGTCTGAGTAGCCTAGGGGTTAGAACGTCTGACCAGAAATCTAAGCACCGCAAGTTCAATTTCAGCTGCCGACACCTTTCTTTTTTCTTTTTTTTTACTTGTGTTATAAACACAGATGAGAAGTAATGCTTAGAACGACTAAATTTTTACCCTTTATGGAAAAGTAATGAAAACATTTTTTGTCATATGAAATATCATCTTAGAAAATTTATTTTAAATATTTCGACTTTCACAGTTGCGACTTAACGAGTTCTAAAAACTTTTTTAACCACTATTCTTCGCAAACGCCCCATCATATAGTCTTTGGTTTGCCATGCGCTCTTCGCGCGCGACCGTGGCTCCATTCAATGTCTTAGAACTCACGCGCGGGAGACCTGGGTTCGAATCCCACCGACGGACCAATAAAATTAAAAGTTTTTTCGGATAAGATACATATCGGATTTTACTTGTAAGAACTGAAATAAGTCATAATTGTACTAATTTCTCTCTCTCTTTCCCACAGAATTACAGTTGAAATCGATATTGGCAATTCATTAGAGCAATACTAATACAAACTTTTCTGAATGAAAAGCAAAGTGCTTAAATCATATATGTACATATATATATACATATACATAAGTCCATAAATCCTGAATGAAAAGTTACATCATGAGGCACATTTTTTCTAATTTTTAGAAAAAGATCCTACTTTTAAGAAATATTTTTCTATTTTTTAGAAAAGTTTTTCTTGTTTTTAGGGCTCTTTGCCTTAAATTTTAGAAAGGAACGCCCTTAATTTTAGAAAAATTCACCCTACAATTTATGGTGTGATGCCTTTGAAGTCAAAAATAAGGCGAATTTCTTGTTTTTAGGGTTAATTTTGGTATCACTATAGTGTAACAGTAGTTTTTTTCTTGTTACTTTTTTGAATGAAATTTAACATAATAAATTGAATCTAAAAACCTGTGTGTTGAAAAGGTTTTCAATATTTTCACTAAAAATTTCACTCACCTGTAGTCGTTAAGGTAATCATTAAATCATTAAAGAGGTGAAGTAGAATGGAGCTCAGTTTTTCAACAAAGGGTGGTTTGCTTAATCAAATTACTTGCATCTCATTAACAACAAACGGAAATTATGCAAACATTTTTAAGGGTTAAAAAAGTACAATAAAATGGCACATTTTGAAACTGCTTTCACTTTAAATATAAAATATATGCCACAAATTAAATATACCTTTCAGTAAACTTAAAAACTAATGAAACAATTCTGCTCTCTATTTTCCAGATAATTCGCGTGCATTTCAACCGAAACGAAGGGTGTTTTTCAGTGGATTTTTGCGTAAAATCGATAAACAGATAGACCCTCTACTGCCAACTGCACACAGCCCGCTCAGCGGAAAACCGGCATACAGTATGAATATGCCCAACGAACGCCTCAAATGGCTAATGCTGTACGCAGCTGTTGCCCTCATTGGTGAGTAATTGCACTTGGCTCGTGTCGATTTGCGTTGGCCCTACAAATTTGTGTTCTAAAGCATTCCAAACTGCTGATCTATGGAATCCGGAAACTATAGAGTTCTCGATATTTATTGTTTCCACACGTCTGTTTTGGATTTACAAAAATGCTAGGTTTTCAGAAGAACAAATTATGAAAGTTTTAAGATTTTCGGAATGATTAATCTACTCAGGTTATACAAACTTATTAAAACTTGCTTAATTGGTTAAAAAACTTAATGAAACGTCATTTCCGTTAGTTCATAAAGATTTAATTCTGATGTAAATATGTGTTTTTCTTTACATTTCGATTTGTAATGTTTGCGATGCATTGTTTTCTTTATGCATCTCTTAAATTTACTTGATTCAGTTTTGGTTTCACTTTAATTATACGCTTCTTATCACTGTTGACACATTCGTTTCCACTTTTTACCCATTTTTCCCATTGCTGCTGCTGCTGTGGATTTTCCGAGCGTTTCTATGCATTTTTAATGTTGTTTTCTTTACATTAGCTTTGGCTTTCGCTTTTTGTTTCATTGCGTTTCCTGGCTGTTTGCAGTTGGATATTTACTCGACTGTGCGTCTGGACGAATACATTTTGTATCTTTTTGTGTGAGGGGTTGTGGGCTGTGTAGATAAATGTGCGGTTCATTGCCTCAACCGTCCGGGAAATAGTGTTTCGGGGATTGGAGGGAAGTACGGTGGGGCTGTGCAACATCAGTGGGTCAGATTGTGAATTAGTCAGTCCAGTCGGGCAGTAAATGAGTAATTCTGCTATCCGTAGATAAACTTTTTTAGATAAACTTGTTCTTATGAATGGATTTATATTATGTATTATTCTTTAGTTTATACAATGGAATGCATTGTTTGAAAAGTTAACAACAATTAGAAACATAAAAAGCACAAATAAAGATTTTTCACCTTTAATAAATACATATTTTATTTATCTTTACCTTAGTTTAAATGGGAATTAATTGAGAAGGCCAAAATGCTTGACCCATCAGCCAAATAACTCGTTCGCCCATGTAACCAATTTATATAGGTGCCTCCATTTGCGATCTTGGTCTGCCCAATTTAGGGTCTGGCCTTATATTTAAACTTATTTACATTTTTTATTGATTGAACAAAAAAAACCAAACCAAACCTTATCCAAAGCTGCTTAAGAAAGTAAACAAACGAAACGTGAAGTAATAGCATGAAATAAAAATTGTTCTGTCGTTGAGGTCAAGAATTTATTTAATAGTTATACTTTTTAAATGGGAATTGCGTGATAAGATACTCTGTTGGAATTCAAAATAAGTAACCAAAATGGAATAATAAAAAAACGCAAAGATAAGCTTAAAGTATTTATAAAATTCACCACAAAGATCTGTTGAAATGATTACGTAAATTAAAAGAATAAATTATGAAAAAGCTACAAAAGCAAGCACAAATATTTGCCCAATGAAATGGTAGAGAACCGACAGATACAAACTTTGAGTGAGACGAAGAGACTTACGACGTCTTACGTTGATTGTGCGGGTCATCATTCAATTGAAATTGATTAAAAACATTTTGCGCCAATTTTTACTTTTGTTATTATTATTTTTCTGTTTTGGGTTTCAGGCCAAGCATGCCTGCATTAACATTTAAAGCCAGACTTAAACCATAAAATAGATTTATTGTACTTGCTCCGTTATGGGAAAGTCGGAATGTAATGTTTATGTTGTTGTTCCTGTCTCCGCTGCAGTCGGACGCATTTAATTCGCAATTTCATTCAATTCAATTGAAATTCAGCTCACACACAGCGAACACTGTAATGGAGCTTAAAGTTCACAAGTGGTCTCAGCTGGATTCAAAACAGTGCAGCGAAAAAGCAAAAAGTAAGCATGTAACACAAAACATATAAACAGGAAGCAGTCAATTTATGTATAGTACATTTGTGCGAATCAAATGACATAGATGAAATTATGGAAAAGGCTTTGCTATGCTGTCGATGTGTGCACTTTGTTGCTTCCCTATGAAAAAATTGTATGCAAGATAAATACTAATCTAATTGTTTATCTAGAATAAAATGACATCTTAGTTAACGCTAGTGAAATGAAAACAATAGCTGTGATAAAAAGGCAGCTGAATTCACTTGCCATATTTTAGAAAAATATATGAAAGCTGTTTAATGCTTTTATTAATATTCAAGCTAAAAATATAACATTATATTGCAAATAAATGGAGTTACATAAAGAGACTTAAAATGTTTCATGTAGATTAGATATTTAAATAAATTTGTATTTAATTGTTCAGTGATTTTTAATGTACTTTTCACTTGTAAAGTATGTAAGATCATTTTATTCCATTTGCTAATGCTGGTGACTTTTTCGATTGCGAGCATAAAGACTTTAAGAGTCTTTCTCTGAGTATTTGCTTTTGCTCTTTACTGATAAGAAAAAAAACACTTTGAGACCACTTATCAACTGGGTCACATTTTCCTCGTTTCTATCTTCAAGATCAGTTCTTAAAAGATTTCGTAACCAATTAGAAGCACTGCATGCCACTCAAAACACTCGTAAATATGACAGAGATCATCCGAGAGATCACTGAACCAGACCCTGTCCGAGAAAGAACCATTTCCGTTTCTGTACAAAGCCAAATGGGAAAGAATGGAAATGGGAAAAAAGGAGCCGAAATGTGAGGATGGAGCTAGAGAAGATGGAAAAAGCCTGCCCGTAATTACAAATGATTGATGTGCCCCTCCTGACACTTTCTTCGCCCTCTTCAGAGTATGTGTTATGATACCTCGACGATTGAGGCACATCACACGCGGGGTTTGTTTAAGCAACACCGAGGGGCTGGGCTCCCATCCTATCCATACACCAAGAAAAAATATGGAAGCTAGCACTCATATGATATTATTATGGATAGAACAGAAAGATCTTGAAGATATGTGATAATTTGCCTTATGTACATACATATGTAGGTGTAGAAAAAGTGAAACAATTTTATTAAAAATTTGATATTTTTCATTAGATATGTATATATAGTAATCATTTCTATAATAAAAGTACCACAGATATAAATATTTATACAAGAACAAATATAATCTTGAGTGTATCCAATTTTCCTGCCAACTGCAGACTGTTCAATAGAATTTTGCCCCCAACTTAATGGCCTCTCGCCCGACTTATTATTAGTTGCATCGCAGCAGGCACAGGAATGCCACTTGGATTCGGGATGGAGAGAAAGCAGCAGGGAGAAAAGGGGGAAAGTACACAATTCGCCTGTGACGTCATGATGCAGTCGCAGTTTGCTGTTTTATGAGGCGTTACAGCCTATTTTTTGCCCATTTGCGATAGTCTCAAAGCTGTTTGTCAACTTCAATGGGGAATAAAGATTGGAGAATGGCGAAGCTGCAACTGCGGAGCAAGTTTTCGATAATTGCGTAAATAATTGCCTTATAATGATGCTGAAAGTTGGCAACGCTGTCGTGCTGAATGCATTTCAAAAGAATCTCGACGGCTTTGCTTTTCTAAAATTCTTTACAAATCCACCGAAAAGACACGACAACTCAGGGCATCAAAGCGTTTGTTGGGCCATTAAGAGCATTTGTCATATATTCGAGCTCATTAAGTGCTCCCAGAACTTCCCGAACTTTTGGATGTAGAAAGTATTAAGTTAACTCGAAATATTTTATGAGCTGCAGCCAGTCGAACAATTTATGGGGCCTAACCGAAAATATTTTCAGATATTTTTAAGTGGGTGCGGAGTAAATGTAGCTCTTAGCGGGTCTTAAAAAGTTCAGCAATAAAGTTTTCTTTTCAACCCCTCCGCCAGGGGAAAACCCATGAGTCCTTTGCGCTCTCTCTCCTTTTTGTTGTCACCCTTAGTTCGCATTGGGGAAAAATGAGAAAGGTATTTATTTAGTTTGCCAGTGAAGATTTGCAGCAAATGTTTGGGTTACACACTTTTGATTTACCCGAGAAGAGAGAAACTAAGTGCCAGCCACCCTCATCCACCTTCCCTCGCAGCTCGAACAGCTGTAGTGACTAAGGGGCACGTTGTCGGCACGCATTCCCATCTCCTCTCTGCCAAACCGTATCCCTCCCTCTGAAAATATTATTATACTTATTTATGTCTCGCCGCTGCCTGACAAGCTGATTTGGAGCGAAGCGATGTTGCCGCACTTCAGCCGGCGAGCTCCTGGCAGTGGGATTCCCCTTCATGCCACCCGGCGTCCGAATTTGTCGGCCGAGAAATGGGGGTGTTGGGTTAGAGCCAGAGTGAATATTGAGTTTCATGCTCGAATTTTTATAAATTATTTTAACTTTTATTTTTTCGAGAGAACTTTGAATTTTCAAGAAGAAAAATACATTTTAATACATACAATAAATAATAATATTATTATATTATTTATAATTATAAAAACACAATGGATATTGTTAAAAAAAATTTCCCCAAATACTTACTATTAGGTCAGGGGTTCTCATATTTAGGGTTTCTCAAATAAATAAAATCACATGTTCACATAAATGAAATATATGTTGGCTTACTCTCATCATCAGCGGATATTGACGCAAAAAGAAATGTGTAAAATTGGCCTGCATACTACATTACCAAAGATCACTTACAAAAATAAATGAGCTACAAGGGCATAGTGGTAGTCTATCGATTTGAATACCAGAAGTTACGCGATAAATAAGAATTTATTCTCGGCACATTACATATCACAAATTATGTGGCGTTAAATGAAAAGAAATCTTTTATGTGGAAAGATACGAGTCAAAGATATCTCAAAAATCAACTTCATGTGTGAATGCGAGAAGGGGTAGAGGATTAAAATCATTTTGGCGCCCCCTAAAAATGGAACAAAATCAAGCCGTAATAATAATTTGTAAAATATGTTCATGGCCTCACCCATCTACCGATCCCAGTTCCAGTCCAACAGACTCAGAGAACTGGCACTTATCAGGCAGCCATCATCTATGGATGTGTTCGCGTACGTCCAGG